GCAGACACAGGGTGGGCACTGGGTGGCGTGGGCATGGGCGGGTGAGGGTGTGGCTGTGTGTGGTGCGGGTAGGCCTGGCTGGATGTCCATGTATAATCTTGAACCCCTCCCGCCCAGCATCTCACGGAGCCAGGAACCCTGACTCCCAGTTCCTTGCTCCGACCAGTCGGTCACGCTGCCTTGCAGTAACATGGCCCTGCTGGGGACTAGGATGGGCACGGCTGGGTTGGCTCTGGCCTCCGGCTGGCGGCAAACCATGGTGGGGAGCCCACCTGCTGGTCTCTGCCCTCCCTCCCTCCCCCTTGCTGTAGCTTAGCAAGTCCAGCTGGGAGACAATTGATTAGTGCTGAGCCAGGAACTACCCCCCCCCCCCAGGCTTATCAGCTCAGCTCTGTGCTGATAGCCGGGGAGGGGCCCCGCGCTGCCAGATCTCCCCTCCCGGCCTTGTGGGCTCAGCTCTGGGCCTCTCCAGGGGTGGGGGGATGTGCGATGATGAGGCTGACGCCCTGGTGCCCAGCGGGCCCCTTCTGGGCAGGTCATGGCTAGCTGGGGGAGGGGGAGGCCCCGGCCTGTTACTGGCCCCTCCAAGCCCTCCCGCCATTGCTCAGCCTCTTTGGCCTTTGAGCGGGCGGGAGGGTGATGTGGGTGGGAGTGTGTGCCCATGCAGCCACCTCTGGGTGGGGACGGGATGGCTCTGGTTCTGCCCCAAAGGGAGGGGGCTAACGGTGGGGAGCACACCCCACGCTCAGCTCAGCAGCCAGCCCCTCTCTCCCCTGCAGGCCCCTCTTCTGTGGCAACTCAGAAGCCGACCAGCTGGGCAAGATTTTTGAGTAAGTTCTGAAGCTTCCCTAGTGTCTTGCGGGAGGGGGCTGGATGGGGGCGGGGGGATGGGCACTTGAATGAGGCACTTAAGGGCCGAGCCAGGGTGGGGCTGGGGGACCCAGCCCTGGTTGAGAGCTGCTGATTGATGGGACAGGGCGGGACAGCGTGTCTGGGTGTAGTGCTGCTGCTGGAGGTATGAACACACAAGTTTGTGGGGCGGGGGGGCTGCTGGGAGCTTGTCCTCTCCTTTATCCTGTTAACAACTCTCAGTAACCGACCCACCCTGCTGTGCTCCAAGATGAAGCCGGGTCCAGCCTTGTGGTGTTTAGTGACTGACCTCCTCTCACATCCCCTCCTTCCCTCCCCGGGTGGCCAAGGAAGGAGGCGGCCGGTCGAGAGGTTTTTTTTGCCGCGTGGGGAGCAGAATGTCCAGGGTGCTGCCTCGTGCAAGCGGCCCGGGGCCCAGCGCCGCGGGCAGCTCTGTGCTAGAGGAGGAGAGGTGCATTTCAACCCTGGGGCCGAGGGGACAGTAGCGGTGCCGGCGCCTGGGTTTGCCTCAATGCGCGGACGGGGCTTCGAGCTACCCCCCTTCCTGGGCTGCCCAGGATCGGAAGCCAGGTTAGGTAGTTACTAGGCGTATTACGGTAGTGTCTAGGAGCCCCTTTGTGCACGGCGCTGCGCAGACAGAACAGACACGGCCCTTGCCCCAGAGACGGCCGCTATAAGGGAACAGTCTGGTGAACACGGGTTACCTTAGCCGGGGTTAAAGAGGCCCCTTTGTTCCTAGCAGAGACAAAGTGTCACGGCGTCCCCAGGCGATGCTCTGGAACTGCTCCCTACGAAGCCAGTCAGGCTCTGGTGAAGTCTCCTCTCTGTGAGCAGACTGTCTCCAGGGCAAGCACCTCACATGGCTTTCACCTTCCTGGGTCTGACCTTGGAGCATTCAGCATATGCCCCTCCGTGCGCTTCCCACAGCGAGTCTGCCCAGGCGGGGTCCTGGGGAAGCCAGAGGGCTCTGCACCCCAACTCCGCAGTCAGACGTGACTCTTAGCCAGCCAGTAAAACAGACGTTTATTAGATGACAGGAACACGGTCTAAAACGGAGCTTGTGGGTACAGAGAACAGGACCCCTCAGCCGGGTCCATTTTGGGGGGCAGTGAGCCAGACAACCACGTCTGCACTTCATTCCCCGTCCCCAGCCAGCCCCAAACTGACTCGCTCTCCAGCCCCTTCTCCTCCTCCTCTGGGCTTTGTCCCATTCCCGGGCCAGGAGATCACCTGATTCCTTTGTTCTCCAACACCTTTAGCTATCACCTTGCAGGGGGGAAGGGCCCTGGCCATTAGTTGTCAGGAGACAGAGTGTCGGCCATTTATGTACACTGGCCCTTTGCTCTGCAACAATTACACACCCCTTATCCCACCATCTAGAGACTTAAGAAATGCAATGGGGAAACTGAGGCACCCCTACAGTATTCCGAGGAAACATTAAGACAGTCCCAGTTCGTCACACATGGCTGGAGGGGCAGAGAGCCGGGGTGGGAGATATCCTGCTGTGAATCGTGGTTGAGGGATTCGGAACTGGGCTGGGAGAGGCTCTTGTCTGAAGAGGCTGGGACTGTGTAGGGGGCAGGAGATGGGACAGTGGGTCAGGGAGCCTGGGCTCGGCTCAGCTCACAAAGGGCTTATCAAGGAAACAGAAAGCCGGTATCCTTGGAATCCCATGCAACGTTAACCTGTGGAACTCACTGCCACAAGAGCTCACGAGGCCCAGAGCTTGGCAGGGTTCAGAAGAGAATCCGACCCCCCATGGGTAACGAGAGAGAGAGAGAAAAATACCTTGTTTTTAAACAAGGGATCAGAATCCTTTAGCCTCAGGGCAGAGGGAAAACGCTGGCTGGAGTTAGCAGGGCATGCTGTTCCCTCGCATCCCCGGCAGAGTTCCCCGCACCTTCCTCCTGCCTTGGTCGGATGGGACAGTGGGCTGCGTGGACCTCTGCTCTGGGCTGGCAGTGCCCATGTCCCACCCCTGCCTGGGTGCCAGTTGCTGTGCAAAACCAGCCCCCTCCCTGCTGCCCCGTCCCAGTCGTTCTTTTCCCTCCCCCGCAGCATGATCGGGCTCCCGGCAGAGGACGACTGGCCCCTTGACGTGGCCCTGCCGCACTGCGCCTTCACGGCACGCTCCCCACAGCCCGTGGAGATGTTTGTACCAGAGATGGAGAAGCTGGGGGCGCAGCTTCTCTTGGTAGGTCGGGGCAGGGGGGAGATGATGTGGGAGTAAGGGGGGGGAAGCAGCAATAATTTAGCCTGAGAAGGAGAATTGGGGAGGGGGCCCTCTGGAGCCCCTCCGAGCCCCTAGAGCTGCTGATACTGCTTGGCGAGACGAGGGCCTGGTCCGCGTGCTGCAGCCGCGGGCTTCTCAGGGGTGGGACCTAGTCCGTGTTTGTTCCCACCGCGAAACCAGCACGTGGGGTCGGCTGGCTCTGGAAATGACACGCCCAGGGGCATCGGCAGAGCTGGGGGAGGGGGCTGCGCGTCGGGATTGAGGAGCACCAGCAGAGCTGTATGGTGGAAAGCCCAGGGTTGGGAGAGCGGGGGGCTGCGGGTCGGGGAGGGGGGACAGGACGCAGGGTCCTGTTAATTCGCCCTTCACTCTTTGAACACCCAGTTGGCTCGGCTGGCCCCCAGCTGATCCACTGGGTGGGGAGGCCCAGACCTGAAGTCCCTCTCTGTGGGGATAGGCTGGTGTCCGTCCCATTTAACCCTTTCTCCTCTCCTCCCTAGGAGATGCTGACCTTTAACCCCTACCAGCGGATCTCGGCCTTCAACGCACTGCGTCACCTTTACCTCCAGGACAAGAGCCTGGTGGAGGGGTAACGCCCCAGCGCCCCCCTCTCCCCTCCACGGGGACCCAACGGAGGACTCGGGATAGTGCCAGTTCTGCACCCGCCCCACGCCCCCGGGGGGGGCACAGCCACCAGCACGCACACGGAGACGGACTCGAGCAGGGAGCGAGACGCCTCCTCCCCGGTGGCGTCTCCCCCCACCCCCCACGGGCGCCTGGTCCCGGGCAGGCCTAGCTCTGTTTCAGGTCAGTTTGTGTTGGGAAGGGGCCCGGCGGGGCCTCACCCGAGTTCTCACGGACACTTTGAGTAGCCCTTTGTAACCGTTTACAAGATAACTGTTGCTGCCTTATCACATTCCAGCCTTCTGCCACTGGTCTCAGCTCTTCCCACCCCGCTAGCGAGGGGCTGAGAGCAGCACGACAGACCCCTCCCCCTCCCCACACTTGGGGCAGGTGGGTTTTTTTTTTTTTTTTTTTTTTTTACAAGAAATATTCGCGCGCGGTTTTTCTACTACCAGGGCGGTGGCCAGGGCGAGCCGCCGGATTGGTGCACGTGTGACAGTTGCTTCCCCGAGGGTGGATTGGGGAATCCCGGGGGGGGTGCTCCCTCCCCCGGGGCCGGGAATCGACAGTTTATATTTATAATGATTTTTCTCAGACACTTAACTTTTTTTTTTTTATCGGCTCTAAAAATGGTAAGAGTCTAATAAAGGGAAGGCAGGGGGATGGGAGGGCAGCGCCCGGGCAGACCTGGCTGCCCTCGCGTCCGGCCCCACCCCAGCCTGCTTTGTCACTTGGCTTGCCTGAAGGTGTCTTGGGTTTGACTGGTGCGGCTGAGAAGCCAGGACCGCGCCCCTCGTCATGTGGGGTTCAGAGGTCCCCTTCCTCTGATCACTGCTGGCCCAGTGAATGGCAGGTTATGGGGTCGCGGGAGTGGAGGCAGCTGGGCATTGCCCTTCATTGCTCTTGACTGGCTTGTTCACCTGTGGGTCTCAGATCCGGGGGGGGGAGGAGAAAGGGGTTGTTGACCCCGGGAAGCAGACACCCCTTCCTCTGCGGCAGTGGACAGAACCATGCCCCCTGCTCCCAGAGTGTCCATCCAGGCTGCAGCGGGTGGCCAGAGACAGGACCCTGAGGGCTGTGTACTTGTTCTCACCTGGCATCCCTCCCCAGGGGAGGGGTCATGCTTATGTTCCTGCCTTCTGCCAGCTGGGGGTCTCACCGCCGGAGGGGGGGGGGCGCGGGGGCGACTGCACCTTTACTCCAAGGGGAGGGAGGAGGAGTGTCCGCCCCCCAGTGATACCGCAGAGCCGGAGGGTCACTGAAAGGTGTTTATTTGAATGATCGATAAAGTAACAGATACACACAACAGTGCAGGTTCCAGCCACTCCAATGGACGCTGATAACACGGGTCCAGCATGGATCCCCCGGCCGGGGAGCCAGGCCAGAGGCCGAGCAGACTGGGGAGAGGCTGACGTCCTGCTGCCCCTCTGTTTTAACACAAGTCTCTGGGAGCAGCGTCTGCTTTGCTAGCGCCCCAGCCGAGTTCTGTCCCACCTCCAGGGGAACCCGCACCCACAAGCACTGCTGGGAAAGCCCCCTCCGAACCAGCCAGCCCAGCTAAACACTGAAACCTCTAGTAGCACTGCCTGGGGCTGAGTCACGCTGGAGTCCCCCGTGCCCCCGAGGGCCTGTGTGCGGGACCTTGCCCTGTGGCTCTGTTTACATACCAGCTGGGGCTGGGGACTTCCCCAGGGAGCAGGGGGATGTGCTGTCATCAGCTGAAGCCTTGAACTCTATGCTGCAAGGCGGGCTCAGCTGGCAAATGATCCAAGCGGGTGGCGGAGAGGAAATAGACTCCTTCAGCGCCCTGGTCTCCGCGCTCTGTCGGGCTGCGCCCAGGTGCCTGCTACTGGCAGCCGGCACCTGGTGTGCATTTAACACTGAGGCGTGAGCACTCTCCTCGAGTTCCCTACAAGGGTTAATTGACAAAGGAGCCAGCAGCATTCTGCTGTCTCCGGTGGGCATAGCCCAGAGCTGAAGGGCAGAGTTTGGGGAGAGGGCCCTTGAATGAAGGGTGGCTGGAGAATCGGGCGCTTGTGCTGGTTCTGCAGAAGCCCCCAGTCTCCTTGCCCCGAGCCTGGTACAGGGAGGGCTCTGTCACACTGCGGGAAAACAACCTTCTACTCCTACAACATACCTAGAGTTTCCAGCTAGACTTATAAATAAATAGCATGCAGCCCCTCGGGGCTCTACCCACACTAGTCACAGGGGTGAGGGGACTCACAGAGGCAGGGCGGGAAGAATCAAAACTATCTAGTGTTGGTTAAGGATGGTGCTTCTCCTGGGGGGGGGGGGTTACCCAGCTCTGCCTGGGCCCTCTACTGCATGCGAGGGGAGGGGGAGCAGCCGGCATCTTTTGGTGAGCCTCCAGCCCCACACTACTGTCAGCCTGAGTCCAGCCTGGTGGCTGGGCCAGCGTTGTCTTGCCAGGGAGCTGGGTTCCACCTCTTCCTGCCCAAGGCAGCATGAGGAGGCCAGGGCCTGGCCCAGCCTGCCAGGGCTTTGGGGCGGAGGGGGCCTTGGTCTGGCCCAGAGCTACGGCCTGCAGCGGGGGCTGGTCTGTGCCATCGAAGCTGGCGGAGACACTCAGTGCAAACTCGGGTGAAGGTGAGAAGCTAGCACTGTCTGTCCCCGTCACTGTACTGTGGGTGCGTGGGTGGGTGTGTGAATCTATTGGCCCTATTCCCAGCTGAGCCTCGCTGCCCAGCCCCACACGCTAATCAACTTAGCCCCACTGCAGAGCACGGGACTAAGTGCCCAGCTGCACATGTAACAGCACCAGGCGCCGACTCCCCATGTCTGACCCAAGAGGGAGGGGCAGACACTGCCCCTTGGAGACAGTGGGAATGCAGTGGGACCAGACCAGCCCTCCCACTCAGTCTCAAAGCCACACTCACCTGCTGCAGGGAGGTGTAGCACTGCGCTCTAAGGAAGGCATCGGTCAAGCTGTGTCTGGCTGTTGGGCTAAGGTCTCAGGCAGGGGGTGCAGCAAAAACCAAAGAAGCCACAGCCGGGGGCTGGCAAAGAGAGATCCCAGCTGGCCCTGCAACAGGCAGGGAATTGCCCTGCAGAGATCACCTGGGCAAGGAATCCAGGCGGGGGATGGCTCCTCCCCCTTATGACAGCGCAGAAGCAAGCTCCAACTGACTGTGGCAGCGGAGGAGGATGGGACCCCAGCTCGGCTGGTCTCTACTGCCCCATGGGAGGTTAGGGTCGGACAGCTGGGGGTGAGCCTTGGACATGGAGGTCAGAGGCTTTGAAAGATGCTTTTGCAGGGGGCTGAGGAGCTGGTCCAAGGCTCAGAAATGTTCCTGCAAAGCCCTTAGGTGGGGCAAGAGGAAGCAGGAGCAGGTGCCACCTGCTGAAAGGCTACAGCCTGGCTATTAAGATTCCACTTATTCGAGGATAAAAATGCCAAATTTCCTGCTACGCACCAGCTCCCCCCAGTCACATGACCATCTTCAGGGCAGTTAACTCCGCGAGAGGCTGTACATTCTCCTTTTGGATTAGTACAGATCAGAGACAAAGCCCCCTGCCCCACCCCTTAGAGGAACGTAACTAACTTCCTAGATGACGGGGCCCTGGCGTTTGGCTCTGGCTCCGCGGTCTCTAAGCCACGCAGGTCCTCCCTCTCCTTGTCGGGTCAGCGCAGCTGCAGCCAGGTGAGTTTCCACAAGGGTAAATACAGCCCTGGAGTTTGCTCCTGGCCAGGCTGCCATGGCCGGTCTCGGCAGGGCAACACGCTTCTCCGTGTTTGGCTACGTACCAGGAACAGAGCCAGGGAACTTGTCGGAGCAGGGCACCAACTACACGTTAGCAGCGTCATGCTCCTAGCCATGCCCAGCGCGGCTGCCTGGCTCCGGCACGGCTGAGCCCGGGCTCTCGCAGCACGAGAACGTTCTCGCGGGGCTCCCCACCCCCCGCTTGCCAAAGGCTTCATATCAAGGATGGAGCCGTGCAGCTGCCGTTTCATCCACTCAGCGCTTTGGTAACACGGCAGTGGGAAGGGGGGCAGATGCAGGCGTCGCTTTCCTTCCGAGCAGTGAAGGGAGATGGATTCTCATGGCTAAAGTACAAGCAGCTGGGGCGGGGAAGGGGCGGGGGGGTGGACGGTCTATAAGAAGGCACTGGGATTTGCTCTAGGGTCTTTCTGGTTTCTGTAGCGCATGGCTAGCAAGACTCCGAGGATCTAGGAGAACAGAGAGAGAGAAGGGGAGGGGGATTAGGCGCGATGGGGGCTCCCCGTGTCACAGGCTGCAGCTCCCACTGGTGGTGCTGGTCCCTCCCCGTTGAGTCACACGGTGCTCCTGAGGCCCACTGTGTAAGGCTTTGCTGAGAGAGGACCTGGAACCGTCCCCCGCTCCCCCCCACCCCGCTCTAGCCGCGGCTGGAGGAATTACCTCCGTGAAGCTGAAGAAAAGTCCGACGCCCCCGAGGATTTTCAGGGCCTCGTCCGAATGCTTCAGCATCTTCTCCCCGCACTTGGGACAGCTGGGCACGTGGCCCTTGGTCGTGTTGTCCTTACACATCTGGAGAGGGTGATAAAACCCCACAGTGACACTCCCCTCGCGGGCAGGGCGGAACCGTCCCCCCGGTAGAGCACTGTGACCCCAGCCAGGAGAGCATGGCAAGGGGGCTGGGCGTGAACGGGATTCCCTCTACTGACGGAGACATTGCCTGATCCGCCGCCGGCCCCACCACATACAGACTCGTGCCCAGCCGGGACTTCTCCCTGCTGGGAGGAGTCAGAGTTACAGCCCTGGAGCCCGAATGCCTCACCAGCAGCCCCTGGGAACCAGGCCGGAGATCTCCCAGCTGGTTTCTCCTGGGGGTGAACAACCAGGCACCCCCGGAGAGCCGGGAAAGCCCAGAGGCAGAAGCGCTGGGGTAAGACGCTGCCCCACCCTGGGACTCACAGCAGTGCAGAGGTTGTAGTCCATCTGGAACGTCCTGATGGCGACTGGGTCGTTGGTGTTGTTTAGCAGCCCGCAGCAGTTCAGATTCACCTCGATCTCGTTGCGGGTCTTGTTGCTCAGGATGTCCCAGGTGGCGCGGAAGAGACTCTCCTGTGGGCAGAGCCCCCAGGGTTACCCCACGAACAGCACAGCCAGCAAGTGCCCTCGGGGCCAGGGCCACAGCTGCACCCACCGCAGCAACTGACCAGCCTGCAATGTTGTTCTGCAGCCACTAGAGGACACGGTTCCCTGTAGCCAGAGGTTTTCCCCTTTGTCCCTCCTTCGGTGTATAGGGGCAGGGGGACCAGTTTACATGGACAGCGGGGGAGAAGCGCTAGAAGAGGGACCCCTAGGAGGGGAGCCGGCCCACCTGGCAGACAGAGCTGGGGGAAGACAATAATGGGCACAGCCAGAGTCAATGATGGGGCGGAGGGCAGGGCCTGATGTGATCAGTGGGGCTACACACATCCCCAAATTGTCAGCTCAACGGCAGGAAGGGAACGCACGTTCTCAAGAGGTCGTGGTAACCGGCGACAACAAACAGTAACGGGGGAACGGTGCGACGGAGCCAAAAAGGCCCATTGCTCTAACTCGAGGGCTGGGTTGTGATCAGGCCTGGTAAAGCCTCGGACCAGACATCAGGGAACCCCAAATCGGTGTGCTGGAACGTAGGGCTGATTGATGGACAAAGCAAGAAGGGGATGGGCCGTTCCGCCCTGCCCACCACTCCCTCTGGGGGGGTCTGTAAAGAAAGAGACTAGGGAGAAAAAATCAGCTACTGGAGCAAGCGTCACCATCACAGCTACCACCCCACTAGCTCCTGGAATCTCAGCCCTCCATCAGCCTGATCCTGAGAGATGCCCCGGCCAGGCTCAGGGGATCCAGACAACATCGCCGCCTTCACCAGCTCCAGCCCAAATACCAGCTGGGATGAAACGGGCTTGGACTTTAGCACCTGCAGCAGTTCCAGACAGCTCAGCTAACTCCTCTCTTCCCTGCAGGACAGTTCTTACCAGCACTGATACCCTAGTCTAGACAGTGTTCCTTGCCTTTTTTAATAGCGGGAACCGGCTTGCTGCCTTCCTAAACTGCCAGGGAGAGCTCAGGGACCAGCGCCAGTCCCTGGACCAGTCGCTGAGACACACTGATCTAAGAGCCTGGTACCCAAAGGGGTTTTTCCTTCTAAAAAACTCTCACCAGCTCAAGGGAAAGGGACCAAGGGCCGGGGCCACCATGAGAGCTGTAGTGAATACTTGATTGTTCAAAGGCTGGACCTGTTCTGCCTTCTCATTTTTAATGAAGGTTAAGAAGATTTTTAATGGTGCGTTTGCCATGGTACAAAGCAGGACTAGCCAGCCCTGGACCTTCCTTAACACTGGTTGATGTTGGACAACGAGTGGGTTATGGTAATGCCTATAGCACATATAATCCACCTAAAATAACATAACAGGCCCTTCCAGCTCCCCCCTGTCCCAGCACCGACAACTGGCTTTGGGCTGTTTCCCTGAGGAGATGCCGGTGCTCGCTGTCCTGAGGCACAGCGGCGGGGGGCTGAGGGTGCCCTCTGGAAGAGGTGGTGGGGGTGGCGTTTTGCAGAGGAGACAAGCTTTGAGACCAGCGTGAAATGGGTGTTTCGTGAAGCGCTGCTGATGCAGTTCTTCAGCCGCTACCCCGATCAACCCAGCTCGGCAGGAACGGAGGAGTAGGACGAGGGGCAAGGCATGGGATGGTTTTAAAATGCAGAGAGAAAGTGGGCAGGTGTTCCCGAGAACTCAGCGCTGACCCACCTCTGCTCCGGGGTAAGACTCCCAGCAACTCCCCGAGGAACACAGTTAAACTAGCCCCCCCAAGAACTCCCCTCCTCGCCGCATGTGGAGAGAGTCCCGTGCATGGTCACCTCTCCCCGCCCCCTTTCCTGTCTGTCTGCTCTTCCCAGGCAACCCGAGTTCTCCTCCCGCGTGAGACCGGCCCCGCGGACAGCCTGCTCTGTACCTCCACACTGGGGCCTGGCGCTAAGACCCCTGGGGGCGCAGCCTGAGCCGAGCGCTGCAGCAAGCTGAGCTGCTCTTCCCATTCTTTCCCAGTGGATTGTGGGCAAACATGGCTGTCTGCCAGCCACCAGAGTGGCACTGTGGGAAGGTGTTAGAGGACTAGCTGCCCTTGGGTGGAGCTAGCCAACGCCTGCACTACACGTGCTGGGGTGAGTAGGTGACAGTGCACTTAGGCAACCTGTAACCTCTCCATGACAGGCCAGGCAACTTGAGTTAAAGCACCACCGCGCCTACGTTAGGGGTTGGAGTGTGTGGATGGGACTCAAGGCAAGATACAAGCCAAGTGGTGCCCCTGTGTCAACTCTGCAGTAACAAGCCCTTGGCCTACGCTCTTCGGGGCAGAGCCTGGCATCTCATGTGGGTCTGGCTGGCCTGCAGGCCCTGATTCCAGGGGGGGACACCTGGGCCCTGTAACTAGCCAAACCAGATAGAGGATCAACCTCACTGCGCTGATGGGCTGGTGAGACATCTACCAGACCCTGAGTTTAGTGGGAAGAGGGTTTCACCAAACACCTTTGAACCCGTTGGTTGGAAGCCACAAGAGCAGGTGCCAGGGCCCCTTCCCGTTTCCCCATGAAGATGGATGTATGGATTCTCCAGCGCATCTCGCTGAAGCTGCTGTGGCCAAGGGTTGGGGAGGGATGCGGACTCACCTCTCTGCTTGTGTTAAGGGCCAGACACGAACAGGAGACTCCCAACTGGAAGAGAAAGACGAGCCCCAAAATGACCATGTACTGAGGAAGAGTCTGTGTTAAGGAAACACGGCAGGGGAATGCTGCCATCTCCCCCCAGCCTCCTGTCCCCTTACCCAGCCTCCTGGGTGGAACAGGACAGTGACAGCAACCCAGCACCTGCCCAGGCAGCTTCCTTTGCCAGCTGCCAAAACCCATGCAGAAGACCAAACCTGTGCCCTGCTCTAGCCCCAGCCCACTGTTATTTCAGGGGAGCCAGGAACTCCCATGGAGAGGACACCTTCTATTTGTGTAACCCTTGCTTCTGCTAGCACCACAAGCCAACTCCCCAAGCATGCTGGGTGCGCCCCACGGCGACCTTCTGAACTTCAGACTGGAGGGTGGAGCAGGAGGGGGGTTAGCTAGACAGTCATGGGGTCAGTTTAGGGCTGTTTCAACGTATAGAGGGGAGCATTGGGGAAAGGAAACTGCAGCTTTACAAAGAGATGGCACTCGGCTATGTCTCCAAGGGAACCTGCCCAGCAGTGCAGCGAAGCTGGAGCAACTCCCCTCTGTTGATGCTATTCCACTGTAGATTTTGTGCCGGAATTGGGTCTACCGGGTGGGTTATTCCAGAGCAGGTCCGTCGGGCGGGTCTCCCCTGCAGATAAGCCCTGAGGTGGGGGGCTGTGCCAGAGGAAGGTGAAGTGACTTGTGGAGTAAGAAAACCTCACTCTGCTCTTAGACAAGGCCAGGGCAGAACTGGAGTGGAACCCACTGGCAGGGTCCTACTCGAATACCTTGTTCAGGGGACAGGGTAGGTAGTTGCATGGAAAAAGAGACTTTTGCTTCAGGAAGGACCCCACCATCCCAGGTGCCTTGTGAGGAGAAAAGGGCCCCATCTTCCTCTAGCCCACCCATAGCAGCTGAGCGGCGCTGCCAGGGGCAGGGGCGGCGTTTCCATTTAGGCGACCGCACCAGGATTTGGGGAGGCGGCAATTCGGTGGCGGGGGGACGGTCCTTCCGCGCTCCAGGTCTTCGGCGGCAATTCTGTGGCAGGTTCTTCACTCGCTCCGGGACCCGCCCCCGAAGTGCCCCGAAGACCGGGAGCGTGGAAGGACCCCTGCCTAGGGCACCAAAAACCCTGGCACCGCTCCTGCCGAGGGGTGACCATCACAGGCTAATTAGGGCCCTTTAAACACAGATTATCCTCCACAGGCAACCCCCTCCCAAGCACATGTTAATGTAGAGCTCAGTATACGGCTGAGTCAGAGAAGGCAACAGACATAAAACCAGCAGCCTCAGCTTGCTGGTGCTGCACGGAGTTTGTCCACACTGCTTTCCTGGGCAGGGCCTGGGGGCGGGAGAGCCACCATTAAAGTGTGTGTATGGCAGGGAAAAGATTCTCCACCCCAACCCTCCTCTTCCCCTCCCTTCCAAGCCCAGGGTAGATGGCAGCGGGACCCCCGCTGTAAGGCACTGCACCATTTGGGTTTAGCTGGCTCGGAGCTCCAAGGCCTATGCTGCAGCCTGGCCACCCTGAAGCGGTTACAGGATGAGGCTGACCTCTGGCTGTGCTAGGCAGGGTGCAAACAGGACCAAGAGCCCCCCAGGGCTTCCACCCTACAGCCTAGTCTCCCCTTCAAACATTCGTGGTCTAGCCATACTGGCGAACACTCTTAGGGGACCCACCGCTTACACCCATTGGGCGAGGGAAATAAGCTATTCCAACAAAGCCCCTTTACACCAGTGTAACTGCACCTACAATAGGGCCACAAGAAATGCCCCTGCCTACCCAGCATCAGTCTGCTGCCGAGAGCAGCTTGTGCAGAACCTGGCCTACGTGACTGACTGCTTCCCTAGTCCGTGCAGCCTCAGCCTTTCCCTGCTGGCCAGTTTGAGAGTTCATGACCTCCTACTTCAGCTTTTCCTACCTTCCCCCTGCTGTGGTTCCCCTAAAGTCCAGGGTATTGACCACCCCAAGACTGGAATGACCCCCACCAAGACCTAGCCTTTGCCCTCTGGTGCCTAGGGAGCATTTGCCACCCAACCTTGGGTAACAAGAGTTTAGCCTTAACAGAGGCTGACAGAGTTCCTGTCGCCCTTGCTGAGGTCTCCAACACTGCTACAACCACCAGCCAGCTCAGCTGAATATTAGGTCGGTTTCTCAAAAGTTAAGATTTCAAGTGGAACTGTGGTTTCCTCTTCGCATCACTTCCCCTTCACCGAAATATCAGCCCATTTATAGGTGGCAATCAGCCATGCCTGGCCTTGTTCGTGCCTCATCTAGGTAGATCCAGGTTCTGCCCCAGTCCAGGCCAAGATGGGTCCCCAGATCCCTTCTGGCAAGCGCCTGCCTGGCGTAGAGCCTGCAGCAGCCCCTAGCAACCAGCACCCGATGCTGAAGTGCCCCAGTGATGTGACAGGCTCCGCCGAGGAAGAGCCTATTCAAAGTGCAGCAGCTACATCTGCCAGCCTCATGACAGCCAAATGGAGATGAAAAACCCCACCCACGCGCGCGGGGAGTGGAACAGGAGCTGAACGTCAGTCTGGCTGCCGGAGAGGGATGTGCTAGGGGGTTTATTTATAGATAAAAAGGAGCAGCTGGAAGAGGGGCTAGAACTAACTCCCAAGCTTCCACCAGACATCACTTTCCCCCCCTCTCTCTCAGCCACCATTCCTCCCCGCCCCAAGCTCTTTGCCCTCAGTGGCTGGCAGTGGGCAGGGCCCAACGGGGCCCCTCTGGCTGACCGGCCTGTAGAGATGCAGGCCGGAGGAGTGGCTCGCTCCAAGATACTAGCCTCCTTTTTCTTACGGGGCACAGCAAGACAGACACCCCAGTGCTGCTGCCCCTGTGAGCGCCCACAGGCCGCCCCACGCCCCTGAGTGGGAGAGCAGGGAGACGCCTTCCCCCGATGCTTCTCCCTGTCCCTGCCACACGGGCTCAAGCGCTTTACCTAGTGCGAGTTCAAACAGCCCGTGCCTGAGTTTACCCACAGCCAGTCTCGCTCAGATTCCCACAGCACATTCACTTCCTCCTCCAGTCTAGACACCCCACCTGTTTTACCCACTTGCTCTTAGCTACTTCTTCCGCTAAGCCTCCTCCCCAACTTTAGAGAGAACGGTCACGTCCTTCATGTAGTTGTTGCAACAACACGTGCCCCTACCTGGGCTGGGGGCGTAGGGGAATTCTAAAGGAAGGCCATGCCCCCTCTTCGTAGATGTCAGAGCCAGAACAGACCATGGCGATTGTGACGAAGTGGGAGTGTTCTTAATGTTTCCTCTGAATAGTGTGTGGGTGCCTCAGTTTCCCCTATTCATTTCTTAAGTCTCTAGGTAGTGGGATAAAGGCCAGTGTGCATAAATGGCTGACACTCTGTCTCCTGGCAACTAATGGCTGGGGCCCTTCCCCCCGGCAAGGGGATAGCTAAAGGTGTTTGAGAACAAAGATCAGGTGACCTCCTGGCCCGGGAAAGAGACAAAGGCCAGAGCGGAGGGGCCGGAGAGTTTCAGTTTGGAGCTGGCTGGGGATGGGGTGTGAGTGCAGACGGGGTTGTCTGGCTCATTGCCCCCCAAAGTGGACCCGGCTGAGGGGTCCTGTTCTCTGTACCTACAAGCTCTGTTTTAGACTGTGTTCCTGTCATCTAACAAACGTCTGTTTTACTGGCTGGCTAAGAGTCACGTCTGACTGCAAAGTAGGGGTGCAGGACCCTGTGGCTTCCCCAGGACCCCGCCTGGACAGACTCACTGTGGGAAGTGCACAGAGGGGCAGAGGATGCTGAATGCTCCGAGATCAGACCCAGGAAGGTGAGGCTGTGGAAGCGTCTTGGCTGGAGACAGTCTGCTCCGAGAGCGGAGGCTCCCCAGAGTCCTGACTGGCTTTGTGGGGAGCAGTTCCAGAGCATTGCCTGGGGACTCCGTGACAGCAATCTAGTCTGAGCTGCGGCACAGCAGGGGCCAGAGATCCTCACCCTAAAGCCAGGCCCACTGCCTGAAGGGAGCATCTGGCATTCCCAGCAGAGGCTGCCGCTTTGCTGTAACAAGCGAGACCACCTAGCAGGGTCTTAAGGCTTAAACCTCCAGATTTCAGCCTCTCGGGCTGGGTTCCCAATTGTTACTACCACCAGATCGGCTAGAGAGTTTGAACCACCCGTAACCCTGCTCAGAGAAGGGCCTGACAACAGTGGGGGGCCCCCCCCATGGAGCCGCACAGCGATAGCAACAGCGGGAGTTTTGTCAGCAGATGTAGCCGAGCCCTGAGGATACTCAAGGCCCGTTCTTGCTCCACACAGCGGCTGAGCCTCTGGAGCACTTCTCGTGCCACAGAGAACCGGGAGATTGTTAGCGGCACAGGGCAGAGTCGTGAGGAGCGTGGCATGGCCCTGGCCTCCCAGGCAGCAGAGAAGGATACAAAGAAGAGCATGACTTGGTGGTGGTTGATAGCCCCGATGAGTCCCACGATGGCAATGAGCAGCAGGAAGACGCCCACGGCGATGACTCCGCCGATGATGTGGATGCTGGAGACAATGCCAAAGCTTTTCCCCCAGGCAGCCACGCCGATCAGCAGCAACCCAACCAGCTGGAAAACAAGAGGAGACGGTCAGCCTGGGATGCGAGGGGCCCTTTCCCCCATGCCGCCCAGCACACTGGTCCCCACATCACCTCTGCATCCTGGGAGAGGCACCTCATCTCCTGCATAGCACAGGAGGGGGCTTTGATAAGATCCCAGCCCCCAAAGAACTGACAGTCTAAACAGACAGGCTGCAAAGGGGGAGGGCTGGGGGCTTATGTTACTTGGAGGGAGGGCAGGCAAGTGGACCGCACACTGGACTGGGGAGACCTGGGTTCTGTTCCCAGCTGAGTGACACCCTCCGCCTCCCTGTGCCTCAGCTTCCCCATCTGTAAAATGGGGCTAATGATACTTACCTTTGTAAAGCGCTTGGTTTTGTAAGCAATACTGTCCCCTTCCTGGTCTGGCCTTAAAAAACTTACCTGCTAAACCTGGCCTTCCTCTTGCCCAGCAGTTAAGGGACAGTGTACTTGGCCTGTCGCCCAGCTTTACTCTCCTGAGTAGCCCCACTGACTGCAACAGGACTCCTCAAACCGGGAAAGGTAAGCACGTGCCTAAGCATCAGCTGGACTGGGGCCTCGTTTTGTGACTTACTCTTTTCCGGTTTTTATTTTCAGCTCCTCGTCCAACCCCTGCTGGTTTCCCCTTCCATTAACCATTGTTTATTCCAGCCCTTCGCTCCCATCCCAGCTAGCGGGCCCTCCCCCATTCCTTTCATGCCAAGATCCAAGCACACATTCCCACCCACGCACGCCTGCAATTAGGTGGCTTCTTAATCACCCATTTCAAGAGATCAGATGTTGGAAGAATGGACGCCAGCTCCAGTTTTGGATCTTTGGGGGTGGGGGCGTCTCTGCACTTCTGTAATCTACGATCTCTACTCCAGGAACCTAGCGACTGCCAGACTGGATTGGACTCACTGTCCATCTCGTCCAGTTTCCTGTCTGACAGCAGCCAGCACGTTTCAGAGGAAAGTGCAAGAAACCCACAGTAGGTAAATGCGGGATAGTCTATTTCCTGCCATCTAGGTCTCAGTCTGATCTCTATTAGAGCCTGAAGCATGAGGGTTAATATCCCTTCTAGATTGTTAGCATTAATTATAACTCCGGAGATTCTTGTTATCCACAAAAGGATCCAATCCCTTTTAAAACTTGCTACATTTGTGGCCTCAACTTCCACTGTCTCACTACATGCATGTGGTGTATTGGTTTTGAGTTTGCCATCTTTTAATCAGTTGGCTTGTGACTGAGTGGCTCATTATTGCCCACACTTCAGAGCTAGAAGCACATTCGACAGCACGGATGTATTTTTCACATTAAAGTTAACCTTTACTTCCCTTAAGAGTGGGGTAGATGCTCCTTTTCCACCTCCTAAACCGATACGTCCCAGAAAGATCCACTCACCATTTGAGCTCATAAAATGGGTTCCAACTGGGGGAGGAATTGGCTAGCTCTTGCCATCTTTTGGCCTCGTTTATACACAAACGAGCATCCATTTAAACTGAACTGGTTTCTTAAATTAGCGCAAGCCCCACTGCAGGCACGCAAAAAACCAAAAAACCAACTAAAAAACCACAATTTGAAGGGCTTCTGTTGGCTTTCCAGTGTTTGATTCCTTAACGACTTGAGCCACATCAGAATAGGCCAATCGAACTGAGTTAAGAGCACCTCCAGAGGGGCTCGCGCTGGCTTACCAAATCCAGTTAAAGAGGCACCTTTGTGCATTTGCACCTTCCAGGTCAGCCAAATGGCAACAAGACAGAGCAATACAGGGGGCTGTGAGCCAATTTGGCAACAGCTTCTGAGTTGAACTAAACAGCTGTTTAGCTTGTGCACATTAATACGACCAGGTCAGCAATATGAGAATATAGACATTAACACAGGCTGCTTCTCTTGCAACTTATCCTCCATCACGTCACCCCTCATAAGGTCTCCAAGACCAGGCTCCAGCCTGAGCCCAAACATCTACCCTGCAACTTTATAGCCCCTGCAAACCCGAGTCAGCTGCAGCTGTGCCATGGCTCTTACTCCAGAACAGACATACCCTAAGATATTACAGCGACGAGCACCAGAAATACCAGGTGATAGTCTGGCCCCAGTGAAGTTGGCGGCAAGATCCCCTTGACTTAAACAGCACCAGGATTTTACCCACCTTCTCTGTGTTCTGGGTTGTGAACAATTAGGTTGCCTAGAACCAGAGGTTTGAATCCTGGCCTGGCTGATCTTCTGAGATGTCTGAAAGTCCCACACGCAAAGTTCCACGCACTCTCTACAGATGCTCAATAGCCCCTAGAGATTAGGTTTTCCCTGATCGCCTTGAATGGAAGGCATCTCCTTGCCAGCAGGCTGTTCACTGCCCGCTTTTAACATCCCCATGCCCACCCCTGAAAACAACAGGCTGTATTTCAGTGATTAGGTAGCTCCTAGGTGACGACGTGAACCGTGCAGCTCTAAGATCTGTACCAGGTTACTGCACCTCCTCTCCCAGCACGGCAAATCTCAGCCGCTAGGGACAGCTATCTGGCAGCGTGACAGTGTTTGAAGTCACCCCTCCAGAGAGTTGGTGCAAAGAGAACAGAGTTCGGGTGGCACTTGCATCCCCAAACTTCTAGTGTTTCAGAGATTCTGCAGTAACATTAGCGCTTGCAGAGACCAGATGGGTTTTTAAGCCAGTGAAACCCTGTTGATTTCTGCACAAACTAATGCAGCTGGTGACCACTGGGTTGCCAGGAAAACAAGAGAACATTGCAGGTGAACATTGCTGCTGGCGTTGCTCTCACGGAAGAGGTCTTCATGTGGGCAGGGGAGGGGGCACCTGGCAAAGAAGAGCATGAGACGCCCTCTCACTGGGCTATTGTCTGGCACCATGGACGATACATATGGCTGGGGAGTGGTCATGCAGGAGCACTGGGATTTCTCTCCTGCACTCATTCTTTAGCACAGCGACATGCGGATCTGCTTGCCGTTCAGCTGCTCAAGACAGATGCGCTGGTCTCCTCTGCAGGAGGAATCCCACACAGCTGTCGCCTGGGACAAAGGAAACAGTAGGCCAGATTTCCCCTGCTGTATCTGACCGCAGTGAGGTTCCATCAGCGATGAGTCCGCTTCCTGTCAGTGCGCGTTTCCTTCTCTGCCTACAGCATTCCACCTCCTTATTCCCCATCAGACAAGGGCTGGGCCCTCTCCCTAGCCCAGTTTGGTTTGACCTCCCTTCCTGTCTCATTTTATAGCAGTCAGGCCCATGGAGCAGACAAGCTACTGCGGTTACCTATGTTTAGGCCAAGCGAATGGACATGACGAACGCCTCATGTCTGTGGGTGGGCGCACAACACTGGCTTGAAGACAAGCTCTGCTACAGGCCAGGATTGTGGGACGCGAGGTCTTATTCCAACACCGTCATCCCCACACGCACTGCTCCCTTTCAGCGTGCTGTTCCCACGCGGTTCGCTTTGGAAGCGCAGGCCCCAGTGGATACCCAACAGCTCGCCCTAAGGTTAGGGGCAGCGCTATTCTGGCTCTCACTTCTTGACCTGATGGGACGTAAAGCCTGAGCCGCGCTCACAGCCAGCCCTGCTGCGGTCCTAGTTCCCAGTGCTCTCGCCGTGTAGAAGAGGAACTAGTGTTTGGTGCTTTAAACCAACTGTCCTTTTCACTAGGCTTTGGCTGCATGGCCAGGCTTTCCATTCAAGCCATGGTCGCCCAGATGCCTTCTGCTTCCATAGATACCTGGGGCCTGATTCCCCATTGCCCAGACTCATGTCATTTATACACATTCAGCTCTGGTGTGAAGTGCAACAGGGTCAGACTGGTAGCACCATGTACTGGTGTGACTGCAGGGCACCAGAAAATTGGGCCCCCGGTGTACTTTAACCAGGCAGATCCAGAGAGGGCAGCTCACAGATCTGCACGCTAGATCGCTCATCACAAGGGTTCCAACCATCTCTGCTGGCAGACCTTGATTCACGGCTGCCCTCCCACTACTTGTCTGTCCATTTTCCTACCCCCTTCTCGCCGTGCAGTCTCTCGCTTTCTGTCTGCATTCGTTTCACCCAACCCTGCCTGTTCCTACATGCTGCTCAGGGAGGACAGCGGCCTCGCTGCCCTGATGCGTCAGCCAAACCCAGCGACCGGCAGAAAAAGCTTAGCGCAAGACCAGAATCAGTAATATTGCCACTTTGTTAAAAAGCCAGCTCGGAGCACCGAGTCTGGTGAGGCATTATGGGCCACAAAAGCTTCTGAAGACTCAAAACCTCTGCAGGACCCAAGGCAAAAATACTTGAGCCCTGATCCACAAAGACACCCAAGTCTGGGGTATAGGTGCCTATGTCCCAGTTTTATGCACCACTGCAATCTGCAAAACCACACTTGGTGGCCACCTAACCCTGTAGGCACCTAAACTCCCCAGCACTCAAGTCTTTGCAGTAGACATGGCCTAGGTGAGTACGTTTCTGCCTTTGAGCCCCAGAAAGATCCATTGACTGGAGGAAGAGAAATATTTGCCTGCCTATCTTCTCTGCAGGGCCCAGTCCAGGAATCCTGTTCAGAGGCTGCCTACAGGACAGGGCCCCCATTCAAAATCTGGCTGGAGGAGGCAGCGTGACAGATTTTGTTACCATTTATGTTACCATAGACCACGTCAACACTTTTAGCCCAGTGGTTAGTGCACTCACCAGGGATGTGGGGGACCCCAGTTCGATTCCTCTCTCTACCAAAGGAGAGGACAAGATTTGAACACAGGTCTCCCACCTCTCAGGAGTGCACCGAGCGATGGGATAGTCTGATGTGGGGCTCCCTTCGCTTACTGAACCTGATTGGAGCAGGAGTGGGTACCCTAGCCCCGGCCTATGGAATCGCTCGCCCATGATGAACAGCAGGAGAGATTGAGAGAGCCCCACATCAGAATACCCCCTAGCTCAGTGGTCAGAGCACTCAGATGGGGGAGACCCCTGTTCAAATCATCGCCCCCTCAGGCACTGTCTCCCACATGCCAGGCAAGTGCTCGAACCACTGGGCCTAAAGCGGACACAACCATCTCCACTCACCACTCCACTGTGTGGCATGAGGCAGGGGCTTAACTCATTCTCCCCATGGTTGAGGTGCCTATGCCGTCCAACTCCAGGAGAGGGTCACTGGCTGGGGATTGTGAGCAGGGCCTGGTGCCTCCCTGCAGTAGGAAGGGAGCCTATAAGCAGGTCCATACTCATACCTCTAATCCAAGAGTTTATGTCTCAGGCTCTCTTCCTACTACACAGCTCAGACTTGGGCACCTGTCCCTGAGAGAGAGGCAGGGCTCAGCCTACACCCCTCTCCTGGGCACCTCCCACTGGCTAGCTTAGGCAGTTCCCCTCCCTCCCCCAGTCGTTACATAGAGAGCCTAGGCACCTAACTCAGGCTTTGTGGATCGCCATGTTATTCCTGCGATTGGCGCCGCGACACTGAGCATCTCAACGTAGATCCAGCCTTCGGTTATCAAGTTCACGGCAATCATTGGGCCACTCCGCTTGTTCCAGACCTGAGCTGCCCAGACTCTGGGACCTCATCAGGAGCCCCAGGCCTCAATTTGAGAGACCCCCTCTCATGGTTAGTGTGTGATCTTCTGATCTGCTCAGCATCCAGCACCCTCGGACCCTGGCCCATGACCGGGGCTCTCAGGCACTACCCCAATACAGACGACGGCGGAAAGTCCATACTGTCATCCACGCTACGGACACTGCTAAACCAGGCCAGTTTCTTTTACACCAGCGCACTCAGCATTGCTACCGCTGACGGGAGATTTCCAAGAAAAGCCGCGACAGCCCTAGAAGATGCATGTCAGTTAGATGGGTGTGACCTCTGGCTAACCAGATTAGAAGAGTATCCCAGAGAATCAAGAGGATGCTGCTAAATAGGTGCTGAAATCATGTGCATTTCTGTAACACCCTCCCGCAGAACACATTCAATTACTGAAGCTCCTAACTAAGCCTTGCAGCGCCAGCACGCTGACACTGGCTGACATCAGCGGAAGATGCCTATTACTGCAAGAGGTTAGGAAAGAGCTACTGAAGTCTCACTTCCTTGTCTCACAGATACAATCACCAATGAATAACTTTTAGGACCGGCCTACACTAGGATTTTACATTGGTATAGCTGCGTCTCCTGGGGGTGTGAAAAATCCACACCCCCGAGATGTGTCGCTACAGCGACCTCAGCCCTGGTGCAGACAGCACTCAGTTGATGGGCGAATTCTTCCATTGACCTAGCTACCGCCTCTCAGAGATTGACAACCTAGACCAATGGCACAGGTAGCATCTGAAACGCTACAACAGCACAGCCGCTCCGTTTCCGTACAGACATGCCCTTCCGGGGCCTGCATTATAAAGGCACTTAGAAGCATTAAACTAAAATGACTAAGACTGCAGCTTTTATACTTACAGTGGGGTACCTTGTTTTCGGCTTACTCAAGAGAAAAACCTCTGCCTCACAGCCGGGCAGCTCGTGAACCCGGCTGGTTTGGGCTGCAATGCAGATGGGCTGCTTCTTGGGTGTTTGAGGCAGTTCGGTACTCCACTAGAAAGTTTTGTCAGTTGACCTATTCCAGTATAACTAAAGCAGCTAACCCCCCTGGAGTGGCTATATCAGGATAAAGAACGAACGAGGAGTCCTTGTGGCACCTTAGAAACTAACAAATTTATTTGAGCATAAGCTTTTGTGGGCTACAGCCCACTTCATCAGATGCATGCAGTGGAAAATACACTAGGAAGGTGTGTGTGTGTGTGTATATATATATATACACACACACACATACACACACACCCCATGAAAAAAATGGGGGTTGCCATACCAACTCTAATGAGACTAATGGATTAAGGTGGGCTATTATCAGCAGGATTTTCCACTGCATGCATCTGATGAAGTGGGCTTTAGCCCACGAAAGCTTATGCTCAAATACATTTGTTAGTCTCTAAGGTGCCACAAGTACTCCTGTTCTTTTTGCTGATACAGACTAACACAGCTACTACTCTGAAATATATCAGGATAGAGAGCTTAAACTGTATGGCTTACTCTGGTTCAGGAAGGAAAATCAGTTTTACCAAAATCAGGCACTTTTGACTGATGGATGCAGTTATGCACTAGGCAGGGCATATGCTGTTAAAGAATCACATCCCTCACAGACCAATAAGGCCTGGTCTACACTTAAAATTATATCAATTTAGTCATCTCTCTAAGGGCTAGGCTGATGGACAAATTCTTCTCTCAACCTCATTGGCACCTCTCTGAGGGATGGATTAATGACATCCATGGCAAAACCCCGTCCATCGCTGCAGGAAGCGTCTACACTGCAGCGTTACAGCAGTCAAACTTTTCAGCGTAGACCAGTTGCTGGTGGCGACTGGAGATCGTTAGATGCGGATGTCAGGGCAGGCTGCTGGCTCAGGCGTGAGGCAATGGGATGGGGGGTGGTCTGTTTTTACTGCCTGTTGAGGAGTAGGCAGCGAAGTCCATCCTCGGCCTGTGTGGGGTCAGAGACCTGGACTTCAGCACTAACCCATGTTTGTCTGGGAGGGGGGGTATCTACTTCCTTCTGGGGGGGGGGGGGGGGAGCAAGTCTCCTCATGGAGCTCAGGGCTAGGGAAGATGCCAAGTCAGCTGCCCTAGATATCAGAGCCTCTGTGGGCCCCAGAGAAGTTATAGCCTGAGCAGAGACAGGCCACACACCCATGCAGTACACCCTGCCTGAGGGACACCCCCCGCCCCCGACAAAGGGGGGGCGCCTCTCAGCTCCTCCCCCCCACCCCCGACAAAGGGGGGGAGGCTCTCGGCTCCTCCCCCCCCACCCCCGACAAAGGGGGGGCTCCTCCCCAACAAAAGGGGGGGCGGCTCTCGGCTCCT